GGGCCTGGCGATTAGCCCCCCAGGGCTAATTATCGCGCCTCCTGGCGAGAAGTTCCTGGAGAGGTCGGTCCTGGAGGCGCTAACCATGGAGCAGCGCCGGCGCCAGTGGGCAACGGTTCTCGAGGGCGACCGCAACGCGAGCTTGCCGGGCAGCGGCGGTAGACGCGGCGGCAGCCGCGGCCCTCCTCCTGCGCTCAGTCCATTTGGGCACAACGTCGCCCCATCGAAGCTCCAGGTGGGACGGGGCGGGGACTGGTGGCTCGGCGGCGCGGGGGCTGTGCAGGAGCTGGATGGGGCTAACCATGAGTGGGATGTCCTGGTGGACTGCCTCGGGGCTGGGGCGCGGCAAAGGGCGCCAAGGCTAAACCGCCGAGCGGCGCCAGCCCACCTGCGCGCCACGTGGAATTCCCACCGGGTCGGACAGCAGCTCAGGAGCTGCGTGAGGACACTGGCTGCTGCCCGCGGGGCTAAGCTGCTCTTCTTCTGTCGCCAGGGGGCGTTCTGGTCGGCGCGCGTCACCGTCGCGTGCCAATGCGCACCGGGGCTAATGGACGCGCAGGCGGCGCTGCGCACTGCGCGCGCGAGCCGCCCCCAGGCCCTCCCACAGGGCGACCGCCGCTCTGAAGAGGACATCGGGAAGGCCCATGACGTCCGGCATCGCGACGGCCAGGCGCTAAAGGATGGCGGCGGCAGAAGGCGCCGGGGGGGGTGGAATAGGAAGGAGGGAAAACTACAGAGGTGGTAATGACTCCCCCTCATCGTTTTCCTCTTCCGCGCCCCCCCTATATCTACGCCCCCCTAACCTCTGCTGCCGCCGCCGCCCCCGCCCCCAAACTTTGGCGAAGCCTCGTTGCCCCTGGGCGCGGCTAGCGCCGAGTCGGCCTTCGAGCAGGGGCGCCGTCGCGCGATGGGCGACGGCGCGATGGACGAAGACTGAGTTCTGAATGACTTCGGGCTGAATTCACGAGAGTTAAGGCGCTGCACGCGCGGGAGCTAAGATAGAATAGGCGACTTACTGCGGAAGCTCGGCGCCGCAGCCTCTTATTGCAATGAAAAAAGTAGAGGAGACATGTCATGCAGGAGTCGGAGAGAAGGAGGAAGAGGGGAGGCCAAGAGTCAATAGTAGGCCTAAAGGGAGGGGGCAGGAGAGGGCTTCAGGATGTGGCGATGATGTTCAGTCGCCGCACTTCGATTCCTTGTTGACCTAGTGGTGTGTAGATATTGGGCATTGTATCCTAACTGCCGAATGCTCGCGGGCTACGCGCGCGCGTTCCGCTCTTGATTCAGACGCCCGAGCAAGCCGGGCTGGCGGAACCAGTGCAACGCATAATGGAGCGTTTCGTAATTGCCGCTTGTCGACAAAGCCTTAAAAGTTACAATCTTTCGCAGAACCGAGTCGGAACGCGGAATCCCCGTGGGCCCACTTGAACCCTGAGTAGGACCCCCTTGGAGCCCCATTGTCTCCTTTGCGATGCTTCAAGTTTTTCCCAGCCTTCAGTCTGCAACGCGTAAGAAAATATTCGAACGGCCCGGCCGGCCTTGCCGGTTGGGGAATCTCGTGGATTCCCCCTCGCCCCAGACCCAGGCCAAACTTCTGGCGAATCTCTGAGCTCTAAGAATCCACGAGGGAGGACCTGAGCACGACTGAGAGGCGCAGAACGAACGGACCAAGTCCCACCAGCCCTCTGGGCGTAGGTGGTCTAGAGCAGATCCTCTTCCACCCCTCCCTCTTCCCCCTTGGGGAGGGGTTTACCCCTCCCCCTACCCCCTCCCCTGGACCTGGACGGGGGGGGCCGCGGGTAGTTAGAGCGTCCAAGATGGCCCAAGACGGCTCCAAGAGCGCCTCAGAGAACCCAAGATGAGCTCCAAGATGGCTCAAGATAGCGCAAGATCGCTCACGATGGCTCCTAAGATGGTTCCAAGAAGCCCAAAGACGGCCCCAAGATAACTCCAAGTGGCCAAACAGCTCCCCAAGGAGGCCCCGAAGAGGCCAAAATCGTCCCAAAACCTAAGGAAAATCAATGATTTTTGCTTTCTCGCCTTTTCGCTTCCGATGGCCATCCGAGGCCTGGAGATGGCTCCAAGATGGCCCAAGAGGGCCCCAAGAGAGCCCCAAAAGAGCCCCAAGACGGCCCCAAGAGCGCCCAAGAGCACTCCAAGAGCGTTCCAAGAGGGGTCCAAGAGGCGATTTTAGGGGCTTCCGAGGGGGGGCGCTAATTCACCCCCCCCTCTTGTTTGATCGACTCCTCCAAGATGGCCCCAAGAAGCGCCCAGGAAGCCCCAAGAGGTCCCAAGATGGCCCCAAAATGGCCCCAAGAGGCCCCCAAGAGGCCCCCCGGAGGCCCCCAAGAGACCCCCAAGAGGCCCCAAGAGCCCCCCCAGATGCACCCAAGATGCTCCAAGAGGCCTCGGCGAGAATGCCTAATCATTGATTCTACACAGGTTTTAGCCACATGGAGGCCTCTTGGGGGGGGGCACGGATTAAGATGACTCCAAGAGCGTCTGGGAGAGCCCAAAATGACCTCCAAGATGGCTCAAGATATCCCAAGATGTCTCATAATGGCTTCCTCTGTGTGCTGCCCACTTCTCTGATCGAGGCAATTCCTCTGGGCATCGTTTCTGGATGGGCTGGTGGGGATTCGCGAAGCGACAACAATTTTTTGAGTTCTGCGCACGGAATCCTAAGGATATAGCCCCGTTATAGAGAGCTCCACCGCAGGCCCCCATGCCACCGCCCGCATGCGTCACGCACGCCCAATTCGGCACACCCCTCACACGCTTCGTGGCCCCAGGGATCACCGAAGGCCCCACCGCCAGCAAACGTCACGCACGCCCAATCAAGTCAGCACGCCCCTCACACGTTCTGAGGCGGAGCTCCACCGGACTGATGGCCCCAGTGCCACCGCCCGCGCGACGGAAACGGACAACGAACTCCGACCAGAGCATGTTTGGCTCAGAGCGAGCCCGCCCGCCCGTCGGCCGCGACGGCCAGAAACCGAGGCACCAATCTTGGGACGCAGACGCAGGGCTCTCGCGCAGGAGAGTCGAGGACCAATCCTCGAGGCTCCCGCGCTGGAGAGGCGAGGACAAATCCTCGGACGCCTCGAGGCTCTCGTGCTGAAGAGGCGAGGACGAATCCACGAGGGTCCCGTGCTGGAGAGGTGAAGACGAATCCTCGAGGGCCCCGTGCTGGAGAGGTGAGGACGAATCCTCGAGGACGAATCCTCGAGGGTCCCCTGCTGGAGAGGTAAGGACGAATCCTCGAAACAATCGTGTCGAGGAGAGACGGCGGCGGCAGCCAGAGCGCCGCCCCGAGAAGCTCTGACCATCCTGCATCTCGTGGCCGTGGGACCTCTGGGCGGCCGGGTGGCATGTGTGGTTTCGGACCACGTCGAGTTCGGCTACCGTGGCGAAGCACGGTGCGATGGTGCGACGCTTGGGAAACGAAGGCGCCTACGACCAAGCGGTGGCAGAAGGCGACATCGACAGCGAGACGAAGGAGTGGCTGGGAAACCAAGCGTGTCTAGAACTCTGGGCGCTCTCGCACTGGAGTACACATCAGCGCATGTCTTCGAAGCCCGCGGGACGTGCCTGGCGGAAGCTCAGCCCTGAGTACAGGGGCAACTTGGTTTTGGAGCTGGACGGCAGCGCGAAGCGAGAGGCGATGCGACAACGCGGGGCAGGGTTTGCAAAGGCTCTCATTTCCAGCAAGCTTGTCATCCACGACGAGGAGGAGCTCCAGCGACTCGTTGATGAGAGTGGGGCGGGGTCGCAGCAGCCGCCATCTTCTTCCTCCAGAAGGAGCCGCAGCCGCCGTTCCTCAGGATGGTGGCGCGCGTGACAGGAGTAGCATGGGCGCTACTAAACGGGTGGCGATTGCGCGTGACAGGAGCGCTTTTGCCCCTGGGCGGGGCTAGCGTCGAGTCGGCCTTCGAGAAGGGGCGCCGTCGTCGCGCGCTGGACGACGACGGGACCTGCAGGAGGACCTGGTCTGGGGCTCAAGAGCTCGGAGCGCTGCACGCACTGGGCTAATAAATATATATATATATATAAAAAAAAAATAGTAATCGTATAAGAATAATAATAATGATGATAATAATGACGATAATACTAAATCATCATCATAATCATAATCATAATCATAATCATAGTAATATTAATAATAATAATAATAATAATAATAATCATGATAATAATAATAACAATAATAATAATGATACTAATAATACTAATAATAATAATAATAATAATAATAATAACAACAATGATGATAACAATAATAATACGTATTATTGTTATCATAAGCGGACTTACGTTAGAAGCTCGGCGCGCGCTCAGCTGCTGCATCGACTTGTGAGGAAAACGAACAAGTGAGGAGCATGAGGGACGGCAGAGAATCAGGAGCAGCCGTAAAAAGGAGGCGACGATTATGTTAATTTGCCTCACTTCGGTTCCCTTTGACCTCATGGTGTGTATATGGGCGTAGTATCCTAAGTGCCGAATGCTCGTGGGCTAGATGCCGAATAGCACGGTCAGACCTTCATCCCCGAACCGACCTCGATCTGATACCTCGATACGACCGCAACGTCGACCCCAAATGCCTCGACCTTTTCCCGTGGACCGGCTTTTCCTCCGGAGTCTTTTTGTTGACGCTCCTGGGGCCCGTTAAAAGGCCCCCAAAGGCCGAAAACGGCCAAAAACCTCCCGCCGTGATCTTCTCATAACCCAAGGGTTGGCGGCGCGCCCAGGGGGGAAGTGAGAAGGGGCGGGCCTTCTCAGAAGGCTCGGCAGTCTCCCGGCCTTCTGAGAAGTTTTCTGAGCCTTCCCCGACGGCGCAGAAAATTTCTCAGAAGGCGCGAGGGCTTCTGAGAAGTCCCGCCGCCTTCTGAGAAGGCCTTCTCCTTCTCCCTTGCCCCCCTCGCTCGCCGCCGATTCTCATGACCCCGAGGGGGTCTGGGGGTCAGGACCTCGGCCCGACTGCAGTCGATCCCCCCACTCGCATGACGAGCGGCGGCACCCCGCTGCAGCCGCCAGGCCCGCGCGGGGGCCCAGGGCCGCGCGCCCCCCCCTCTCAGGCCTCCTCCGCGCGGCCGCCCGGGGCCGCCGCGGCCGCCCTGGGACGCTCGGGGCGGCGGGAGCCAAAAAGCAGCCCGCGCCGATCGGCAAAACAGCGAATAGGAAAACGACGACGAAGTCAGGCACCCAGAGCAGTATCGAAGCAGTGACACGCCTGCGCAGTGTCGAACGAGTGCCGCCTCCCGGGGCACGCCGCGCGAAAGTCCTCCAGTCTCGATACCCGTGGTGCTCGAATTCTTTCTCCTGCGCGAAGCTACAGTAGGTTGGAACATCATAATCCCTGACCCTAAAACTCGAGTAGGGGATCGACTACAGAACTGATTCGCCCCAAAATGGAGATTCGCGCCGAACTTGAGAAATAAATACATCGAGTGTTCGTAGATATACGGATCAGTCTGCGTATTTTCGTAAATTCGACGAACAGATCAAGTTCGGGGTAAATCCATTCTGTAGTCGATCCCCTACTCGAAATGTTGACAAGCCAAGAGGCGATGACAATATCAGGGATGCGCCCTCGAAGACGGAAGGGGGTCCTTGAGATCAGCATCGAGATGAGCCGACGCCAACCTTAGGGACAGGGATATGTTCCAGGCTGGCAACCAGGGGCGCAAGATGGTCCAGGATTCGGCAGCGAGCCTAGGGGAGAAGTGAGAAGGAGCGGGTCTTCCCAGAAGGCTCAGAAGGCCTCGGGCCTTCCGAGAAGTGTTCTGAGCCTCTCCGAGGGCACAGATACACTTCTCAGAGGGCGCGAGGGCTTCTGAGAAGCCCAGCCGCCTTCTGAGAAGGCCTGCCCCCTCTCACTTCCCCCCTGGGCGCGCCGCCGAAAGACGGCCTTCAGGTTTGACTTGTCGGTTCGAGCGCCACGCGGCGCTCGAACCACCAGGTTAAAGCAGGTTCGACCCCAACCTGAACCCAGGCACCAGGCGCATCGGAAAAGATTGAGACGGGCGTTTGTTCGCCGTGTTCGGCCTCGGAGGTCAGTTCTGGGCCCTGGCACGGTCGAGAGATCTGGGGGCCCATGGCGGTGAGATTCGACCCCGACCTCTACTTGCACGAAGGGGGGACAGGAAGAAGGCCAGAGGGGGACAAGGTACCAATGCCGCTGCTCGTCCTGGAGAGCTCTCGTCACCACGGCCAGATTATCCTCAAATGTCTAGTCAGAACGCACCCCCAGAGGAGGTCCAGGGAGTAGCGGTATCCGTTTTTGACTGGGACGGCGGGGGTGCTGGCATATTGCCTGCTATGTGCAGGCCCACCAGACGCTATGATGGCCACCCCGCCGCGAGCGCGCACTGGTAATCGACAAGGGTGGCGGGGGCCGACACTTTTCCCGATGTGTACTGCCACGTGCGCAGGCGCGCCAGGCACACTCTGCACGTGCCCCGAACGTGGCGCACCTGGCGCGGCTGGAGCATGCGGCACACATGCCGCACTTAGATCACGTGGCGCATCTGGCGCTCCAGGAGTGCCCGGCACGCTTCGGCCACAGGTGTGCCTGGCGCACCTGGCGCTCGTGGAGATCCTGGCACGCGTGGCGTACCCCAGCGTTGCGCACATGCGGTCTGCTTTGGCTCCCATTAGCTGTCCATCCAAAGACAACCGCTGAACACGCTGTGGCTCGGGTGCTACTAATTTGAGAGGGCGGGTGGGAGTGAGCGAGACGTCTTGCGGGCGGGGAGGGTGTCTTGACGCCTCCCCCTACCCCCTACCCCCAACCCCTGGGTCTGGACGGGGGGGGGCGCGAGCGGTCAGAGCGTCCAAGGTGGCCTCAGCGAGAAGGCAAAAGGCATTGGTTTGTCTTAAGTTTGGGGCCCATGGTGGTCTCCTTGAAAGGCAAGGGAAATTCAGGCCCCTCCCTTCTTTGATCGACGGCCTCCAAGATGGCCCCAAGATGGCCCGCCAGGCCCCCACGAGGGCCCCAAGAGGCCGCGAGAGGCCCTCAAGAGGCCCCTAAAGGATGCCCCAAGAGACTCAGAGACACATCCAGGAAGCCTCTGGCCCACAGAGGCTCCCCGAGATCCCCAAATTGTGGCATGCTCCCCGAAAGAGGCAGCTCCATTGGGCATCGTTCCTGGATGGGCTGGTGGGGATACGCGAAGCATTAAGAGTATTAACCCGCTCCCACAGTTGACGGTCACTGCAGAGAAACGTGCAGAACTTTCGCACATGTGTTGAAAAGTGTCGCAACGTCTGAATGTTACGCGGCAGGTTGTGAATGTCACGCGCATTTGCAAGCAAATTGTGAGCAGTCGCAACTACATGCAAATAGATGTTGTCAGCGGTTGTGCGCGATCCCATTTGTTACATGCATGCGATTGATTGCGGTTACATGCGGGCGGCCTTCGCATGCGTACAGTCTAGCATTTCCACAACTTCCAGCCCCCACCAATATTCCCCAGCTTTGTCCTGCCCTCTCAGCAATAGTTCATCCGTGGCGATTCCGTCTCGCCCCCGGCCGATGTTCCTGCCCTGGCCACTTCCAGCGAATTGCCCCCAAACGAATCCAAATCGGATCGCCGCGCCTGACTCCAGATGGCTCTGGCCTGTAACAGTGAATCGATCGAGCCCACTCGGATCGGAATCGCGGCCCCAGCAGGCGAATCGCATCGCATCGGATCTGATCGTAGGCGGCCCTGGGCGTGCCTTTTTGGGGGCGTCCCGGGGTGGGGGGCGTCCACGAGGGGAGTTCGCAAAATCATGCCCCGAGGCAAGTGCCCTGCCCATGGCCATCTCATGGCACGGGCCATGAGATACACCCCCCCGAGTCATCACCCCCGTCTTGGCCGCCCCCTCGGCTACACGCAAGAGTGGACCTTTAGTGCGCGGCTTAACGGGGAACGCGGGGTGGCCAAACCTGGGCGCGCAAGCCGCTGCTACTGCTTCGCGCTCAGCGATCGGGAGACCCCATTGCGCCCGCACCAAAGGTCACTCCGGCGAAAGGTCACTGCAACGTCTCGTCGAGCAACCGACCTTCGCCGCCCCCTGGAGGTGATATTCGCTGGCACGACGGTCCTGGCGGCGGGGGCGCGCGCCGCGTCGTTGTTGACCTCGACCCAGAGCAGCCGCGCACACTCCGCCGCCGAGCCCGCCGCGCCGTCCTCATCCTGCAGAGCCCAGGAGCAGACGCCATCCTCTCCTCGTCCTCCTCCTTCTCTTCCTTCTCCTCCTTTTCCTCCTCCTACTTTTCCTCTTCCTCCTCCTCCTCCTCCTCCTCCTCCTCCTCCTCCTCCTCCTCCTCGCTCCTCCTCCCTCCTCCTCCTCCTCCTTCTTCTCCTCCTCCTGCTCCCTTCTCCTCCTCCTGCTCCTTTTCCTTCCCCTCCTCCTCCTCCTCCTCCTCCTCCTCCTTTTCCTCCTCCTCCTCCTCCTCCTCTCCTCCTCCTCCTCCTCCTCCTCCTCCTCCTCTCCTCCTCCTCCTCCTCCTCCTCCTCCTCCTCCCCCTCCCCTTCCCCCTCCCACTCCCCCTCCCCCTCCCCCGCGGGCGCCATTCTCTCGGGCGCATGCTAACACGGATTACAGAGCCGTGAGTCACGCGCATGAGCGCCAGATCCACGGATCGGAGGAATTACCCCCCAAAACATGAAGCCCGTGTGGCCTCAGTCGGCGACAGAGCGCGTCGATCTCGCATGGAAGCGGGGCCCCGTCGCTGATCCACGTGCCGTAGTCCATGTTTGCGTTTCTTCTTATGTTTCTTAGTATGTCTAGTAAGATTAGGATTGGTCGTATTTGTAGCATGACAAGTATTATTAATAATAAAAAATAAAATTGGCAGTAACAAGATTAGGATTAGCACGAGCATTGCTATTGGTATTAGTATTCGTAGTAGTAGTAGTAGTAGTAGTAGTAGTAGCAGTAGTAGCAGTAGTAGTAGTAGTAGTAGTAGTAGTAGTAGTAGTAGTAGTAGTAGTAGTAGTAGTAGTAGTAGTAGTAGTAGTAGTAGTAGTGTTAGTAGTAGTAGTAATAGTATCAGTATTAGTATTAGTAATAGTAGTAATGTTAGTATTAGTAGTAGTATTAGTATTTGCATTCGCATTCGTATTGGTATTAGTATTAATATTAGTATTAGTATTAGTATCAGTATTAGTATTAGCATTAGTATTCGTATTCGTATTAATAATAGTAATGATAGTAGTAACACTATGAATATTAGTATTAGTATGAGTATTAGTATTAGTATTAGTACTAGTATTTGATATTCGTAATAGTATTAGTATCAGTATCAGTATTTATATTCGCGTTCGCATTCGCATTCGTATTAGTATTAGTATTAGTGTTAGTAATAGTATCAGTATTAGTAATAGTGTTAGGAGTAGTATTAGTATTAGTACTAGTAGTAGTATTAGTATCAGTATCCGTATCAGTATTAGTATTAGTATTAGTATTAGTATTCGTATTAATATTAGTATTCGTATTAGTATTAGTATTAGTATTAGTATTAGTATTAGTATTAGTATTAGTATCAGTATTAGCATTATTATTAGTAGCAGTAGTATGATTCGTATGTGTACTAGTATTAGTACTAGTAATAGTAATAGTATGAGTATGAATAGTAGTACGAATACTAGTATTAGTAGTAGTATTCGTATTAGTATTAGTATTAGCATTCGTCTTAGCATGAGTGTTCGTATTAGTATTAGTATTAGTATTAGTATTAGTATTAGTATTAGTAATAGTATTAGTATTAGTATTAGTATTAGTATTAGCAATAGTAGTATTAATATTAGTATCAGTATTAGTATTAGTAGTAGTACGAGTATTAGTAGTAGTAATAGTAATACTAGTAGTATTAGTATTAGTATTAGTACTAGTATTAGTATTGGTAATATTAAGAATGTTCGGGTTAGCATTAATAGTCGTCGCAGTAGTGATAGTATTATTAGTACTAGTTTTACATCTAATCTTAGTATAATAATTAGTATCCGTCTCAGTGTGAGTACTAGTATTAATATAAATATTAGTGTCAGTTGTCAGTGCAGTTCTTTTTGCTCGGACCGCGCGGCGGTCAAACTGCGGGCGCAGCCCCAGGGCCCCAGGACTAGGGCCAAAACGGCGGCGGGCAACATGCACGCCACAAAACATGAAAAGTACGTGCATCATGCTCACAAGGCGGCACGGGCGGCAGAGGGGCAGGGGAGTGCACTCTTCACACAGGGTGAGCACAATGCTGCCCCGATGCCGCCTCCCACAAGCGTGAAACGCTGCACGCGGTCACCGCCAATACCAGCCCACGGGCCGAAACGCCTCAAGCAAAGTGCGGCCTGAGGCTCAATATATAAAATATGAAATATGAATGTCTAGACTCACTAGTCCAGACTGTCGTCTCGATGTGCGTGCGAACATCACCGCAGCCCTCACTAGGTCCATGCAGCGGCTGCAACAGGACCTCACGGGCTCGCAGGCCCTGGAACGGGGGCCCGACGCTGGGCCTTCCGCTCCTTGGCTCTCTCACGCTGTCCGCGGCGCAGCCGCAGACGGTGTGCCTCCTCATCCTCCTGTTCAGCAGTAGGCACCATGCTGAACTGTCCGTGGCGGAGGAACTGCGATAGCACCTCGTTAGGCTGCACGGCCTTCGTCAGCACGTCCGCCAGCATGTGGCTATTGGGCAGCCACTTGAACTTGATGGCCTCCTGCTCGATCAAATCCTTGGCCACCAACAAGTCGATGAGGGTCTGCCGAGACACCGGCATCGAGCCGATCTTGGACGTGTGATCGCAGAGCGACTTCGCGTCCGTCATAAGCGCCCCCGGACCTTCAGCACCAGCCTCCAGCCCCCTTGCAAGGGCGGCTCCCCGTACAAGACTGCCTCGATCAGCAGCCTGAGGTAGAGCTGCCGATCCAAAGCCACGGACATAGCTGCAGACTCTGCGGCCATCGTAGATCCAACAACTCGTGTAATAGTACTACTCTGGAACTCCACTAGACAACACACAGCTAACTCCTTCAACACTCGGGTATCCGTAATCATACTCATGAACCCCATCTGGCTCTCACAGCCGGGTTTCTTCGCAAACGAAGCGCCCATGAGCGTGAGCACCTGCAAGCGCTCGATGTCCGCGCGGCGGATCCAGAGAGTCGCAAGACCTCTCTTGTCGTAGTCCTGAAGCCGGTCGATGATGTCATTGAACACTCGCAGGCGCAATAACCTCCGACCTTTCGGATCCTTCTGCGCGAGCGCCGACACACTGCACGCGAGCTGTGGCACCACACGTGCGACAGGCCAGCGCACCTTCTGGAGCAAGCTCTGGAAGTCGTGGTGCTCTTCGGGCGTCATCTCCCGCTCCTCGTCGCCCCCCCTTGCAAGGGGGTGCTTTGTCAGCTTGCCGATGTACTCGTGCATGCTGATCTCGATGTGATCGGGGTGGCGCCACCACTCCTCCCCGAGATAGGCGACTGCCTCCTTGTCATTGCCCTCCTTCCAGTGCTTGATGTTGAAACGCCTGTTGATATTCGCCTTCACCTTCTGGTACTGGGGGTCGCGCGGGCCCCCGAACAGCATGCCGTCGTCGACGTGCAAGGTCAACATAGCAATCAACTTGCCGGTCGCCCGATAAACGAAGACAGCCCGAGCACAGCGCAGCTCCACGAAGCCGACCTCGTCCGTCAGCACCTGGCGGGCTCGGAGATACCACAACCGAGGCGCCCCCGTCAAACCGCACGCCCCTTTCAGCAGACGAAGCAACGCATAAGGCCGCACAGCCGGCCATCCAGCGCCGTCGACGGCCGGAAGCCCGTCCTTAGGAACCCTCGCGTACAGCTCCCGCTCCAGCTTCAGCCCGGACAGGAACGCAGTCGCTACGTCGAAGCACTCGAATGTCCAATCCATCGCCATTGTGATAGACGCACACACCAGCACGGCCAAAGGGGAAGTAGTAGGCGAATCCGTCCTGAAAAGACCAAGGTGCGGGTCGAGATGGCCAGGGATGATCAAGCGCGACTTCGCCTCCAACTCCGGCCCTCGCCCCCGGTTCGTGCGAACCGAACGCATGGGCACCGAGATGATCTTATCCTTCGGAATGCTCTTCTCCTCCTCCTCGGTAACCAGCTCGACAGTGTTGTTGGCGATCCATTGCCGCCACTCGGCGGCATCGGCCTCGTCGAACTTGGCCTTCTCGTGCTGGTCGAAGTGACGTGGGTCTAGCTCCTTCGCGTTCTGTTTCATCACGAGTGCGAACACGTCGTGCTCGTACCGCGCCTCCTGCAGCCATGCGTCATACACAGATGACACGTTGATCCACTCCTCGTAAGTCATCGGCTGCCGTACAAGACCCTCCGGAGTGTCCAAATAGTACACCCCCTGTGCCTGAGCATCCGGCTTGTCGTGGTAGAAGAGCGTGAGACCAACCCAGCTGTCCTCCATGCGCTCGTTGGTACGGCTCGCGCCGTCGTCCTTGTAGGCACACTGGCCCGTGGCGGAGAGCATCACCGACAGGCGATTGCACTCCCGGTGGCGGTCGTGATCATAGAGTCGCCGCCGTGGCTCTCGATGCACACGTACTCCTCGCACGACCTTCTGAACGAGCGTGGAGACGCCATCCAAGGCATTCTGGTCGAACCACTCCTGGGGCCCCGAGTGCGCCACAGCGTTCATGGCCACCTCGCGGAGAGCCGGCAAGCCACTCGTAGGGGCAGCCTGCAGACGCGATCTCTTAATGCAACTCGGCACGTCATCTACCAGGAACTTCCGCTTCCGCTCGAGCTCGAAATCGTCTCTGGGAATCGGCGGCACCGAAGGGCCGCCAGAGCCCGATGCTCCCGGAGAAGCTTCCGGGTACGTCCCAGAGGACATCCGGCCTGGAGGGGAACGAGACCGGGCCCTCCTCGGAGGCGGAAGCTGCGGCAACTGCTCCTGCTCAGGTGGCTCCTCCTCCGTAGCCTGCGCCTCAAAGGCGTCCAGGGCCCTCAGATCCACACGAGGCTGCCTGGACCCCTCGAGTTCACTATGTCGTTCACGCTCCTACTTCAGGAACGTCTTCTTCACCCTCTGAACCTTCACCTTGGGCGCGACGTCCACGATGTCGTGGTAGGCGCGATCATCTCGCTGCTGCGTCAGCCGCACGTCCGTCTGGATGGACTCCGCAGCCGCGGCCTCCTGGGAGGAGGCGTGCTG